AATACTCCGCCCATGCCAACGCCAATGCGCAGTGCAAAGGCAAAGCCGGCGATCATTCACCATCACCGATAATGGATCAGGGGTTTTATAGGGGAAAAGGTGCTGAGTAACTTCAGTGAAGAAAAAAGCAGAAAAAACATGCCAACTGCCCTAGATAGAACCCCATTTCGATCCCAGTTTGTACGTGCCCAATTAACTCCATCTCCAACACTACACCCTCATCCAGCTGATTCCCCGATAAGAACTCTACGACCGTACAAGTGACGATTTTCATGCTTTTTCGTCCTGCAGCTTCGTTTTTCACTGAAAGGCGGGCCTTGAGGCGGAGTCTGGAGGCGGAGTCACTGGAAAAAGGAGGCGTCACTGAACCTATATTGCGCTATAGCGCCCCTCCCTTACAATTTTTTGCCGAAACCGGTACAAGGTTGTTCGTCGCGAACCACGCTACCCTCCCAACGCCATATTTTCAACTTCTATACCTGATCGCGGACCGTGCCTTTGAGTCGATATCAGGGTCCCGCGACGAAGCACGCACTCAACAGAAGAGAACAGCCAGAAGTGACAAGTGACAGACAAGAAGCGTGTTGGGTGGTTAGGTCGCTGGACCTGTGAGCGTTGCGGGAGGAGCGTGGAGAAGGCAGTGAGTATCGCTACCTTCAGTACCATTCCTCTGTACTTTCTACCGGGGAAAGTCGCACGCTACTGCGGTTGCTGATCCATTCACCTCGCACGTGGCAGAGACCGCCTTCGGAGATGAGTGTGCAGTTTGTCTTTGACGCCCTCCTTGAAACCTTCTGACGCCAACGTGGTACAAGGCGACCCACGTGTTCGTTCCTCTTGTGGAGCTTTTCTCCCTATAAACAGTAGCGAATTGAGTCTTTTAGAAAGGAGTGTAATGCTCTTCGCGAGCAGATGTTCAAGAATCTCAGCAATCAGACAAAGAGAAATCGTCGCCTGAATGCTTACCATGAGACGCTGATGTCAAGCAGCCCTGAACAGGTGAGTGTTTCTCCTACAGTAATCCAAAAGTCA